TAGCGTGCAGCAGTGCCGGGAGCCTGCTGCTGGGGGTCAGCGACGCAGGTGCTTGCACCCCTCGTTACGTGCAAGTAGTGTTTTCAGAAGCACCCGAACCAAAACGACGCTGTTCCTCGAGGAAGTGCCCAGCCCGGAGCGTTTCCCCACAGCGTGGCCGTGTCCGGCTCCCTGCGGCCGGGCTCTCTCCTTTCGCTTTTGTTTCCCGATGGCCGCGCTCCTCCCCAGCCCGTCTGAAACTCCGCGGTGCTTCCCCGGCAGCTGGCGGCCCTTCACCCCCCTCGGGTAGCAGGAGCTCGGAGTTTCCTCATTACCGGGGTCAGAAAAGTTGCTGCTGCTGACGACGAATGGCACAGTAATGATGAGAGACAGGTTTTACAGCTCTGCTGCGTCTCCTTGTTGTCGCATGGGTCGGACAGTTTGTATTAGTAGCAAAAACAAGAAGTACGTTAAAGCCTGAAAGAGGAAAGCAGTAAATAAAGCTTTTAACAGTCAGGCAAACAAATCGTGTTTTCAGAGAAATCATGCTTGGTACCTGATAGACACAAGCTCTTAACTTTTCATTTTCAACTGGTGTTATGGATGTGGTTTTATAGTCTGAATAAGAATGTTCTGAGATGAGTTGAGTGATGATTGACGGCATGTTTGAGTATTAAAACGTTTTTCCTAAACAGACAGCATTTTAAAAGATTAAATAGCTGTTTTATCAACGTATCTAAGATGCCATGCTCAAGTGATTCCAAACCTGGATGTTTGACCCTTCTTTCTAGTTTCCAAGTATTTTCAAAACTTGGGTCTTTGCTTGTGATTTGTTGGATTTCACTACAGTGTCTTACATGGTCTGTGTAGCAAGGCAGCAGCAGTGTGTGCTGGCTTTTCAGTTGTTTTGTTAAAAGCCTGGGCTGCTCACTGAAATTGGTGGCGGCTTTAAACTTCTACTGAAGAACTGTGAACCGTGGCAGCTGAGGGAGTCAGCATGTGTCTGCTCTAACCAGGGGAATAGCAGCAGGGGGTAGTACCCATGATGCTTTCTGAAAGAGGCTGTTAGAGCTCATAAAATAAACAGAAAGCACAACTCAACTTTCTGTGCCAGTGCTACTGTCATTCTCTAGTTAGTCTTTCTGAAGACTAGGTGATATTGTTAGCTTATGTGGAATACTTACTCTGTATAAAAGAGAAAAGAAAATGTCTAGATTGCTATCTGTGATATTAAGCTTCAACAGTAGCATGTATCCCCATTCTTCCTTTTCTCTGCCAGACCACTTGAATGTATAGACTGACACCTAATAGCATCTAGATTAGGATTTTTGTTCGCTATTACAGAAAAAACTACCCAGAATAGAAGGCAATTCCTATGTAAAACGCATCATTATTTTTAAATCGTACTATAACTGTGCTTCTTAAAAGATCATCTGTTTTCCTTATATATGTTGCTTCCATATAAAAGCTTTAGTTTTCATCTCTTTAGAATGCTGCCTGTGCAGTGCCCTGCTCTCTTCTTATCTGAAAGTGGTGCCTGTGTGGATGATGTGGCATTTGAGCATGTTGAGAGCAGTTTGGTTACTGAATTTAACTGTACTGAAGATCATTATGCACAACAGAAGACTAAGTATTGCAGGTGACTGGAGATCCTTCCCAATCCTGCTTCTTGTTTCTTCTCTTTGTCATTGCTCTTTCTGAAACAGTTATGTTTCTCTTACATCTGGATGATAAATACAAGTCCAACAACATGCCTTCCAAAATACGTAAAGGTGTGTCAGCAGCAATACTACAGAAAATCACGAAAAGTCAGCAGTGCCTTTTTCCAGTTGTAACGACAGGAGGATTTTTATGAACAGTCATATTGGTGGATTAAAAAATAGATTTGTTTATTGCAAATTGCTCTTGTGCATGTTTGGTGGTTTTTAGCAACAAAGAGTTAGATAACAGCCCTTTTGCTTCATGCATTTAACAGTGTTTGTGCTCTATATGTTGCTTGTGTACGTTCGGGGGATTTTTTTTTCCTTTAAAAGAAAATTGGACTGCTACAAATAAGGCTGTTAGAAGAACAGAGAACTAGACAGAAGAAAAAACCCACGTTTGGAAAGTGTGGGAAAGAAATTGATGTTATCATTGATAAGTACCGCTTTTGGTGGTAATTGCCACTCCCTAGACTTGTAGGTGGCTGTTAGCCTAGCTAAAGAGGCAGCATGCAGTGGTCATGGTAGGAACTGATTAACAGGGGGAGAGCCCTAAAGCTTCTTAAACTGGCTTTGCTTTTGAAATACTGCATATTCAGTTTTTTAGTTTTTATCGCTTATAATGCAGCTATGCAAGATTAAATCAGTGAAATGTGTGGGGTTATAAAAAAAATAAAATTATCTCTTCCTGAAAAGTGTGATTTTTATTTGTTTTTCCTTTATACAATGTAGAAGATACGGGGGGCAGAAGTCCTGAGGTACCCAAAACAGTCAGGATAGGATAGGAATCTGCTCAGCTGACTTTCTTCACTGGGAAAATCATAATAACGGATTGCAAGTGCAGACAAACCCATAACAAGTCAAGATATTCTTAGCCCATTGGCGTGCAGTAGGTTCCAGGGAGGTCTTCCCACCTCGGCTCGTTTCCAGAGTTCATTAGTCTCAGCCATGCCTTGGGCAGTGATTGCATTGCTTCAGCTGTCACCAAATGGATATTAACTGTGGCTTTTGTAGATTCCAGAATTTGACAACTTATACTTGGACATGAATGGCATTATACATCAGTGTTCACATCCAAATGATGATGATATTCACTTCAGAATCTCAGAAGATAAGATTTTTGCTGATATTTTTCACTATTTGGAAGTACTTTTTCGCATTATTAAACCAAGGAAGGTTTTCTTCATGGCAGTTGATGGAGTAGCTCCAAGAGCAAAAATGAATCAGCAGCGTGGGAGACGTTTTAGGTGAGAATATTCGTTCTTGCCCTGTCTTTAGGATAGTACACACTTTAAAAAAAACATTTACTTAAATGTATGCCATGAAAAGTAGAATATATTATGAGTGGTCATGCCTTTGACAGTAGCTTTAATTTGTAGTTAAATGAGGGTAACCACCTATAAAATGTTAATACTTAAAATCAGGATTCCAAAAAGGAAAGTTTGCTTGTTACTTAGATTTTTCTGTGTGTATGTGGGACTTTGGGGCCAGGGGAATCTTTTTTTCCTATGAAATTTTCTGTGAAATAAATCTGCGGTGGAGTTCTTACAGATGTCTCCAGTGGCTTCATAACCTGTGAGAGTCTTTGGTATTTGTGAATGCTAATTCTAGATACACCTTTTTGGTAACTACAATGGAGTGTTCTTTGACAGTTGTAGAAGAAATGAAGTTTCTGATAAAACTCTGGTTCCCTGTTGATACTAGTTAGCAAGCTAGCTCAAATACAGAGCTGCAGGTAGATTTCACAGTGTTAAGAATTATATTAGTGTTTTGGGAGATGTGGAAGCATATCTGAAGACTACTGTAAGGAAGGAAAGCCAGTGGTCAGACAATACAGGGATGGTGAGTGAAATGCAACAGAAACAAACTGGGGAAAAGGGCCAAGGGAAAATATTTTCAAGCTACTGGGGTTTTTTGTGGGTTTGGGTTTTGTCTTTTTTTTTTTTTTTTTTTTTTTTTGAGGAAAAAAGGAGGTTGAGAGGAAGAAGAGATTAAGAAAGAGTTCTAAATAGAAAATTGGAGCAGAATTGAGAGAAAGACAAAAATCTAAGACATCGGTGGCTTCTCTTTTTTTGGTTCAAAAGTGTTTTTGAAATCCTTGGCCAAGAAAGGCTAGGATGATATTTGTTTGTTTCTCCATTACTAGTGATGATAAATTGTTAGTTCACACTTCTTACCCCCATGGTATTCCAAACTTGCTGCTTTGTTTAACTACATTACCATTGTTATTCTGGGATAGCATTTTCAGATGTTTAGATCCCGAGTATTCCTACTGTTTCAATGTTAATTTGCTTTTATTGTGATCAGCTATTGAATGATCATCTTAGTAATCTAAATATTAACTGTATCTGAGCAATGACAGATTATCATCATTACTAGGGGGAAAAAAGCTATTTTTAAGCCTTCCAGTTGTATCAGAAACAAGTTCAAACTCTATTCAGGAGTTAAATTTCTCTTCCCCCCCCCCCTTTTTGTTTTTAAACACTCTTTAAAAAATCAACTATATGTATTTTGTCAGTAAAGCTGTACTTAGGATATTAACATTTGAATAAGGTGATTCTTTCTCTACTCCCTCTCTCCAACCCTGTTTTGTTTTAGATCAGCAAAAGAGGCAGAGGACAAAATAAAAAAGGCATTAGAAAAGGGAGAAACTCTCCCTACAGAAGCCAGATTTGACTCCAACTGTATTACACCAGGTAAGATTATTTGTTGATTACTTAAATTTAAGTGTTTAGATTTATGGTTTTGCATCTATATTTTGGCACTATTTTCCTATCTTAACGCGTTTTTTTTTTTTAATTGAAGGACAGAATCGATAAAGGCTCAAGTAAGTTGGGAACACAAGTTTTAATAACTTTTAGTAGGGTTGGAATACTGTCCCATTCTAAAAATTTTTTAGATTGCTATGGAAAAAATGAAACCTCTTGGGGGAAAAAAACATCTGTCCCCTTCATCTCTTGCAGAATTTTTATTTGTTGGGTTTTTTTCATTAATACTTTTGATATGTAAATGCAATTTTGAGTGACTAGTGAAAAGTTTTGTGCTTAACTTAGATTTCTTTTTTCAGGAACTGAATTCATGGCCAGATTGCATGAGCATCTTAAATATTTTGTAAATATGAAGATTTCCACAGACAAATCCTGGCAAGGAGTAACAGTCTACTTATCAGGCCATGAGGTCATTGTATTTTGTTAATATTTTATTTTAAGTAAATCTTTATTTTATAGAAAAAAACTTACTGATAAATTTTGGGGTTTTTCATGCAGACTCCGGGGGAAGGTGAGCATAAAATTATGGAGTTCATCAGATCAGAAAAAGCAAAGCCCCATCATGATCCAAACACAAGACACTGCCTCTATGGCTTAGATGCTGACTTGGTATGTGCAATTAAAATAATACAAACCACAGAAGTTTATAAAGTGTGTTTGTCTTTGATGTCTTCCTAAGCGCATAGGGTTCTAAAATGTTATTAAACAAGCATTTAATTTTGTATTGCTGCAAACTTTTGAATTTGTAATGAAACAGAACAGCAAGATTCCTTTATATTGCTCGAATCTTAAAGTAACAGTTTAAAAAAAAAATAATGAAGTAAGACCTGTCTGATATCTCTTTGTAATAGATTATGCTGGGATTAACAAGTCATGAGGCACACTTTGCGCTCTTAAGAGAAGAAGTCAGATTTGGTGGTAAAAAATCTCAAAGGTGAACTGATTTAACTTTACTCTTATTTTATATACAATGAAATTAAATCCAAAAGCTACTGGGTGACTAAAACAGATTTTTTTATTGATTGCATACTGAATTAGTAAAGTCTTAGTTTATTTTTGTGTTAGAAAATACATGAAATTAGAGAAATCAGCTTGTTAAATTGTGCATTTGAATTCGTTTACATGAGAAAATGTATGCTGTCAGGACAACTGATAAAAAAATCCTTAGAGCTTTGGTGTGTTGTGCTTCTTTCTTCGTATTAAGAATGGAGCAGTCCAGGCTGTACTGACGTTGTTTCCGTAATTGTCTTATACAGATACTGACTTCTAAAAATATATTTATATCTCTAAATTTTTGTGCATGTAAGAAAATGACTAGAATAATTACTAAAATAAACTCTCTTACTGACTGGATGCCCTTATTCTGGATTTGCCCATATGAACTAACTTGTGGGTTATAATCAGTCAGAACAAGGTGATTTGTTCCAGAACTGTGCATGTACATGGAACTATTCTGAAGTAATAGAAAAATTAATTTTATAACTGTTACTGTGGCTAGGTTCCTTCTTTGAAGGACCTTAAGCATATATTTGGTGGATAAAGGGAGAAGGTAGGAGAGATAGAGAGAAATACACTTTTTTGATACAAAAAGGATTTTGCATAATACAGTGATAAGTCATATAAATGTTTAGATAAATGCATCGTTTTTGCTAATAAACAAATGTTTTTATTGCCAAGGACGATATGATAAACACCAGAAATAAGTATTCTTTTCATGGTCTTCCATAGTCAACTTTTTACTAATACTCATTCCGTTGATAGTGTTGGCATGTAACATTGTAATGTTTTTAAAAGACCTTAAGTTTAATCAAAGAAAAATGTCGGTTTTCCCTTTTTTAAAAATAAAATAATATAAAATAAAAGTGTGATGACCTTTTGAGGGATTAATTAAATAAAGTATGAAATCAAAAGGCAAGGTGTCTTTTTTTTTTTTCCCCTCTCAAGCATTGTTCCATATTTGGCTCCTGTTGTAATTTCTGGATAATATTGCTCGTTACAGGAATTTACTTCTGAAAGTTACAGGAATTGCCTTCTGTCAATATTGTCACTTTTATGCGTACTTACAGTTGGAAATTTGAAAATACTAAAAATACATACAAATTAATATCTGTCAGCATTTTCTTGATTCAGAGAAATTATTTGTTTTATCAGGATTTTCAAGTCCAGTGCAATGAAGAATAAGAGGCAAAATGTCTCCAGAGTCTTAGAGCATCAACCTGGATTTGCCAATATGAAAATTACATTTAAAAAGTGACAGATTTGGGTCTGAAGTTCTATGCAGCCAAGTATAGCTCAGAGTTCGTCTTAGTAGTCTTCATATAAGCTTGTGTATCACACACATCTTCCTCAGAGGATTTTGCCCAAAATCTACTATGTATGTGTATGCATGAATACACAGGTGTTTATGCTGGTTTGTCATTGGAGGTGGTCCCAGCTAGTTACAGTATCTACAAGGTGAAATAGTCCTTTACGAATTTAAAATACATCAGTCAGCTCATTAATCTTTTGGTGTAAGTATTAACTGATTTTGGCCTAATGTTGGCATGGGTATTAAGTAATTTTAGTGAAGAGAGGAAAAGAAGGCAGAATATATGTTGACTAATTTATGCCATAAACAAACAGTAGGTTTGTCATTTTTTTGGTGCTGTGTTGAAGCCACTAGGTAATACATATGGAGCATATTTTCAAGTTGAGCATATTCTTTTCTTACAAGAAGCATTACAAATGACTGCAAATGAAACCCAGCCAGTTTAGACATGAATCTGTGTACTCTGTATATACTCAGACTAGTTTTAAAGTACCTTAAAATATATAGGGTTTGGTGCAAAGTTAGGTTAGGTTGTCCCTTTTTTGGACAATGGGATAATTACTCAGGAAATAGTTAATGCAACATGGAATTCCACAAAGCTGCCCTGCTTCTTCTAAGCTAGCCGTTTTCCGTACAGCGCAGTCACATCTGCTGTTTAGAAGATTCTACTGCAAGATTTTATAGACTCAAACCAGATGAATCCTAAAATAGATTCAAAGAAATATTTCTATGTTATTTTTTCTGCAAGGATATAATCCTAGTAAGATTACTTGGTTTTAGGTAACCTTGGACTTAATAAATATTCATGTTGAAAGTGTGTTTATAAATAATTAACTTAATGTTTTAAATAATTTACAGAGCATGTGCACCAGAGGAAACCACGTTTCATTTACTGCACTTATCACTGATGAGAGAATATATTGATTATGAATTTTCACCAGTAAAAGTAAGTTCTAATGGAGCTGTGGTTAAATAGATGTGTGTGGTCTTTTTATGCAAACATGATAATAAAAATTATGCTCCTGTGGTTTTTTTCTTTTTTTCCTTTTTCCCCTCCCTCTCCCCCCCCCACCCCAGGACAAGATTTCCTTTGAATATGATATTGAAAGGATAATAGATGATTGGATCTTAATGGGTTTCCTTGTAGGAAATGATTTTATTCCTCATCTACCTCATTTACACATTAATCATGATGCACTGCCGCTACTTTATAGAACATATATGGCTATCTTGCCAGAACTGGGAGGTAAGAACACTAAGTTTAGTTGTGGAAAGTAGAAACGTTAACATTCCTGCGTTAATGTTTATTGACCTTTTTAGCCATGTTAGAATGTTTAGCGTTTAGTACATTTTCTTTCGACAGCCAGCAAGATTTCATTCTATTACCTATGGCGCATTTAAATAGAAATTTTTTTAAAATCATTAATTTAAAAAACATACTTTATTTTCCCAATAGGTTACATAAATGAAAACGGGCATCTGAATTTAAAACGCTTTGAGAAATATCTCACAAGATTGTCAGATGTAAGTAACTTTGAAATTACAGTATAGTCTGTTGAATGGAATGTATATATAGCGCCCTAAAATACACTGTGCTGTAGTTTTAACGAACTGTTAAATGACTGTGTTTTTACAAGTGGTTCAATCAGCTGTTTTATCATTTAACTGATGGGATCCAATCGGTTGTTGTCTGATATTATCATAACATAAAAGGAAAAAGATTGAATCATTTGATCTGTGCTTTAGCCAGCATCTTTTTAGTACTGCAAGTCAAGTAAGGATTCACTGCTAGAGTCATGGCCCTCAATTCTCATCGAGTAACGAGTGGCAATACTGGGCAAAGCATGCTGCAGGCAGCAATATTCTTTGCTTCCCCTGCTGGTCAGTTTCTTACGGGGTATGTCTGAAGATCTTGGAGAGCAGTATTTTTTGCAAGTTTTTTATGAAGATCACTGGTAAAGAGCAATGAAGCATTAGTGTCTCTCAGAGGCAGGCATCAGCATTCTTCATGAACTAACTGGCGTACAGGAGGCAGTCCTGTTAAGTGCCACTGCAGTAATCCATCCTAGAGATGAGAAAAGGTATAGGCCATATAGAAATTGAAAGGTCTCAGCTTTCTGCTGAACTTGGAAGGAGGAAATCCATCTGCTGTCCCTGCTTTAGCCCTATCTTCTGATTCCTGGGTAGAACTATGAAAGTTTTGGGTGGTGGCACAAGACTGTATTACCCAGACCCTATAAACTTCTACTACTTCTAGAGTTGGTAGTGAAGTGTGGAAGTTAACTAACTCTTTTTGTTACCCATTGCTGCCTTACTGAAAGAAAACAAAATATGACTTGGGTATATGTTATATACTGCTACGAAAGAAGATTTTTAATATTAATCTTAGTTTAGTTGTAGCTCTAGGGCAAAATGTTTTCGTACAAATGGCTCTAGATGTAATCTAATGCACCTACTAAAAAGACATTGTTAATTTAGCACTCTAAATTTGGTGTCCATCAAATATTTCTAAACTTACTTTAATCTCTCTGCACAGTTTGATCGTGAACACTTCAGTGAAGTCTTTGTAGACCTAAAATGGTTTGAAAGTAAAGTAGGCAATAAATACCTCAACGAGGCAGCTGGTATTGCAGCAGAGGAAGCCAGAAAAAATAAACAAAAGAAACAAAAGGTCAGTGTTTTACATGCACAACTTTGGAAATAAGAATGTTACTTTTTGCAAATCAATAATTTTATCTTAGACAAATTAAATGGCATAAACCTATGTTTTGAGATTTTTGAGAAGAGGTAGTAAAATGTAACATTTGAGGAACTGCCTGTATGCATTGCTGGTTGTGAGTGATGAAATGGTTAAGTCAAGGTCACGTTCTCACAATTTTTGAAATCTTGTAAACCTGTAACTTAATGCTTTATGTCAATTTATCTGTTCCTCAACAGCAGCAAAACTTACTTCTGGGTGAGTTATGGTCCAACTTGCCATGCTTCATAGTTTTACTTCTCGGCGCATAGCCTGTTGGAAGTTTTATATATTTCAGATACACTGATAGATCATTCATACGTGTCTTGGTATTGGCTGACTATTTGGCAATGAACAGATAAATAGCCATTTCATCGGTGTGAGCTGTCTCAGATTGGTTATTAAACTTGAAATTCTAGATATAACTAATTAATAAGGAACAGCACGTTTCTCAGTATCTTGACTCTGCCCCACTGTCATGTTCCCCATCACCACCTCCATTGGCTATCCTTCAATATATGCCTTCAGCAGAGTGTAGAGTAGCAGCAGGAAATTCCTTCAAGCTTAATCTGTCACTGTATATCGTTATCCTGTTCTTTAGTGCAGTTTGTGGTTTGTAAGAGCAAGATGTTAGCTCTTCCTTTAATAAGGTATGCTTTATTTGTGGTTGTTTTCTTATTTGCCACAGAAGTTTGGAGCAGCTGTGTAGTATTAGCTAGCCATCTTGACTGATCCTTTGAATGGCAGTGACAGTCAGGAGCTTGCATATCTCAGGTACAGGGGAAGAGGGCCAACTTAATGATTCTGCTTATTGAAAGCTACTCAGTGCTGTACACAAAAGACAGTGTGTAGTGTGAGAATGAAGTGAATGTTTGGCTTGTTTGACTCTCTAAAACACAATTTCTTGTATCCTTACTTCCCACAAAAGTAGTTTGAACTCTTAAAAATTTACTGATTAAAGATTTGATTGCATACTGGTGCTGTAGCACAATGCATGATGTAGGTAACAATGCTTAAATGTGTATGGTGCAGTTTTGGAAATAGTTGTATTTTGGAAAACAAATATTCAGATATTTTTTAAAGGTAGTTGAGATTTTATTTGAGACTGCTCCTTTGTCTGATCTGTCTGGATAAAATAATTTACCCTAGGCAATTACAAGAGAAGGAAATGTAATGGGTTTTATACAAAATAATAATAATATTTATACATCTTGATTATAGCGTTTTGCGTTGCAGATTATACAGTTGTGAATGAGGTATGTGCATATTATTCTGTATTTTTACTTTATCTCAAATATTAATTTAATAGGCTCAGGAAAATTCTATATGTTTGGCTGCGTTAGAAAAAAACGAAGGTGAAGTTGTGACCCCGAAAAGTAAGTGCAAATAATTTTTCCATATACATATAGCAAAGAACTTGTTATTTTGTCTATAGATTTGGAAGATGTGTAAGAATTTCATGTCAGAGGTAACCTTAATCTAAATGGAAGAGTTATATAGTCAGCTGTTGGGAAATGGAACTGCATATCACTGGCTTATGGTGAGAGGGAGTGGGGCTAAAGCTTTTGAAGTGCTTCTTACCTGACCGGTATTTCCATGGTGAATTAAAGAAATGAATGAGCACATCTTCAACAACATTATGTTTTTGATAATTGTATGCCTAGGTATTTTATTATACAGGTGGGGACAAATGAACAGATTTTTATATGGCTTTGGGGTTCTTGGTTGTGTTGGTTGTGTTTTTAAACTCATTCCACTCGTAGGAAATGTCTGTTGCTCGTGTTTTGGAATTTAATGTCAAAAATGTATAAATATTTCTCCATGATATAAGATGATGTTGCTGAAAAAAGATTAAATTTAAAAGTTTATTTTAACGTTTTCTTAAATTATTTTCTGATGGTTTGTATTCTTTTCTCTGTTCTTGTAATTGGGCTACAAAATGGGTTGCCTGTCTTTTAAAGGGGGGAAAAAAAAAGTTCCAGACTTTCTCTGGTTAAAGATTTTGTTTGATTGTTTCATGTTACTTTCAGTGCAAGGAAGGTATGAGCACCTGTAGCTGTGAATTGAGGAATAAAGTTAAGGCATTAAGTCAAAACTGAATGTCTTCAAACCTTTCTGTAGTAGAGAAGTGAATGTTAATCCTTTTTTTTTTTTTTTTTTTCCCCGCCCATCACTTCTTTTTCAGCTGTGTTGGAAGATGAACCGGAAGATGATGATTTGTTTGAAACTGAGTTTAGGCAATACAAAAGAACTTACTACATGACTAAAATGGGTGTAGAAGTAGTTTCTGAGTAAGTGTATGCTTTTTCTCTGTTTTTTTTATCCTGTTCTTTTTTTTTTTTTTAAACGCAAAAGACAAGTCTTTGCATCTGTCTAATACAAGACAGAATATTCATTCATGTCGAAAACAGAGAACACATGGCAGTATACTGCAGCGGTGATGCTTTTGGTTAATGCAAGAAAAGCTGCAAGTCAGGTTTTCTGTAACAAATATTTGAGGACCAGACAGAAAATATCTGTTAGTATTACATGAATCTAGAAAACTATGATTCTGTTAGGTTGCCAAAATGCTCTGTCTTCATTCCTATGTACCAAGGTGCTAAGTAATTTTTATATACCAGTGAAAATGAGAAAAATTAATGAGTATCTTTCCTTTTTCTTTTAAGTGACTTCTTGGCTGATCAAGCTGAATGTTACGTCCAGGCAATACAATGGATTTTGCATTATTATTACCATGGAGTTCAGTCATGGAGCTGGTAAGAAAAATTGTCAAATGAGAAATTGTTTAAAGATTGAGCAATATTTCACTGTGTATGCTGGGAACATTTAATGTAGTTCTGTTTGTTTCTGATCTGTGAACGCTGCTGTGCTATAATTAAGTCAAGTAACTTAAGAGGTTTTTTCCCCTGCAGGTATTATCCTTATCATTATGCACCTTATCTGTCAGATATTTGCAACATCGGCGAACTCAAAATCAAATTTGAACTGGGAAAACCTTTCATGCCATTTGAACAACTTCTTGCTGTACTTCCAGCAGCTAGCAAAGATCTGCTACCTAAATGCTACCAGGTAGGATTTAGAATTAGATTGCATTTATCTATCGCTTACTGTTTGTCTGCTTTATTTTGAAGTAACTCTTTCTTGATATTTTTGCGTGTCCTCTTAGTTATCTTCTACCTCTAAATTTTAGGTGTATGGTTAAATACTTCTATTTTTTTACTATTCTTAGTATGTTGTAAAGTTAGTAATAAATACAAAACTTTGCATTTGCTAAGCAATTCCAGACTAGGACAGTTAAATGATAAATGTTGAATTCCTGTTCAGCCTTGCATTGGTTTTAATACCTGCCTTCCTCTATCTCTTCCTAGAATTAGTGCTAAATTGTCTCTAATATTGTTTAATTCCTCTATTGTATTTTCCTAGCATTTGATGATCAGTCAAGACTCTCCTATTATAGAATATTATCCACCGGATTTTAAAACTGACCTAAATGGAAAACAGCAAGAATGGGAAGCTGTGGTATTAATCCCGTTTATTGATGAGGTAAGTTCTTTCAACGTCTGCTGTCTATAAAAGCTTCATAACAAATCTGCTAAACTTCTTAATTAATCAACAGTTAGACATGCAATTAAATGGAGGTTTAAATTAACACTTGATAAGACCACAGAAAAATATAAATGTTTGCTGCGTGGAGAGTAAGGCTAGATTAAGTTACCACAAGCAAAGTTAGCTTCAATTGGCAGAAGTCTTAAGTAAGGGATGTGGACTTTTTGTTGTTTGTTCATGTTTTTAATCAGCTATTCAAATATTTAGTTTCAGATTTTTTGAGAAAAAAATTCTATTCCTGTATACATATAAAAATACAGAATGTCTGTAGGTGAAAGAAACACTTGGAAAAAAAAACCCAGTCTTTTTACAGAAAATCTCTTTGCATGAACACCAGTAATGGGTAGAAGACTTTAAGTACAGATCAAACAGTAAAACATAAACAGAGAGGAATAAAATAGTAACATTAGATCCCTTTGAATATAGGATAACAGTATTACGTTGTTGTAATATCTTTTATCAGATTAAATTTTAGCACATCAAAGAGTGGATGAAAATAAAAGTGCAGATTAGCTGTTAAGATATATACAGGTGGCGTGTGCCTATCAAGTGTTTCCATAGTTCGCAGTGAAAGGTTGACAGGACTTAGTCTTCTCACAAAAGACAACAGTTGCTACTTGAATGACTCATAAGGTTTTGAAGCTTTTTCATTAGTTATTTTGCAGAAATTTATGATAACATCTAAAAATCTTTTTAATATTTCTTTGTATGTTAAATGTAAAAGGCAAAATATGGCTAGCCTTTGGAAACATATTTGCGAAAAGGTAATCTTTATTCTCTAAAGCCATTCCATTGTAATTGTCCTATTTTTATTGGAGAGCTGGGACATGAGGAAGGGTGAGGCTGCAATTAGAAAATTAACACATTAACCAGAAAAGTGCAGGTATCCACTTTCCCAATGTAGATGTTTCCGTGCTAATTTTTGTTGCCAGTTTCACATACACTAACTTCTCTAAAATTTAGAAACGACTGCTGCAGGCCATGGAATCCTGTAATAAGTGCCTAAAAGAAGAGGAGAAACAAAGAAATACTCACAGTGCTTGCTTAATATACTGGTATGACAAAGATGCAGAGTTCCAGTACATGTCACCATGGCCAGAGAAATTCCCTGCAATAGAAAGATGTCATACGAGGTAATGCTGGCATAACTATTTTAGAGTAGGCTGGCAGTAGTTAGAATACTTTTATTAGCATTTTAACTAAAGCTTGTATATGCCAATATATACACTGAATAATTTAAAATGTTGAATTAGATGTTGCTTGTTGTGGATGGCACCGTAAAACTATTTGTCCCTTTTCTTCAAATGTTGCTTTGCAAAACAGATGAACCAATGCTAAGTCTGCAGGAACACTCTGGAGAATTACTAAACTTTGTATGACACAGAGGATGAAAGACTGGTACAAGTATCTGATAATAGTGATGATTTATCAGCACACTAATTCCAGACCATTTGTAAAAAAAAATGTAAGCATTTGGATCCAGTGCAGAGAGTTTGAACACAAGTGTGGTGTTCGCTTTCCTCCCACTGAAAGTAGCCAGCTTTATTTAACACAGGCTGAGGTGTCAAGATTAAATGGAAACATAACCTTAACAGTAGTCAAACTTAAAGCAAAATAGGGGAGGAATGCCTGTTGCAGGATTACACTCAGTGAAGAATGAATAGTTGTGAAGATGAATACCATATAGAACCATTGCTAGTATAGAATTTGACAATAACAATGAATTAAGATAGTGAGATTGGGACATACCATGGCTTGAAGTTTTGTCTTTTTCTTAATGAGTAGTCTCTTTGCATGGGTTTTTATAGTCCTTCGTATAGGTTCCAAGTGGCTTAAATTAATTGCCACCTTACAGGAAGTTGAAAGGGTTTGTCAATTAATGAATGTTTGAATGAGTAATGAGAGTTTCTAGAGCTGAAGGTCAATCTGTATGAGCAAATGTTGTACAACTTGTTTTTTAGGTATAAAACAATACCTTTGGATGCTTGGCACGTAGAAATAACCCACAATAAGATAACTAAAATCAACAAGAGTGCATTGTATTTTTGTGGATTTCCTACTCTAAAGCACATTAAACATAAGGTAAAAGATTTCTCTCCTCTGGCATTTTCAGTTGTATTTAATAGATAACTATGTAAGAGTTCAAGTAAGTTTTATGTGCTGTTTTGTTTTTACCCAGTTCTATCTTAGAAAAAGTGGCGTACAGGTTTTTCAGCAAAGCAGCCATGGAGAGAACATGATGTTAGAAATCATAGCTGATGAGAACTCAAAAGAACAGGTAAGCATTCAGCTCCTAGGCAGGGGGGG